GAAACCTTTTGGTATAGTTACAAATATATTATATTTGTTTATTTTTGCCTTTTGGAGACAGGGCCTTACTGTGCAGTTCAGGCTGGCCTTGAGCTCATTTGTGGCCTAGGGTGGGCTCTAACTGGAAGCAATGCTCTTGCCTCAGCCTCCTGGATGCTGAGATTATAGGTGTGCACCATACCCAGCCATCAGTGTACTGAATTTAATGTTTAATTACATGATGATTTTCTCTCTATATATAGGTGTGGAGGCTGATGCCTCTGAACTTCCACTGTGTATGTAGTTCAGCAGGCTGGGCATGAGCTCACTATATAGGCTAGGCTAGCCTCAAACTCATGGTGATCCTCTTGCCTCAGCCTCCAAGTGCTGGGATTGCAGGCATTGCACCACCTTTCCCAGTCAATTTTTGATGTTTTGGGAAAATAATTTTTATCTATCTTACTTAAGCCTGTGTCCAAGAAACCCTTAGTAAATATGAACTGTAATAGGGAAATTTTCCAGAAGAAGTACATTTAATGCTGGAGTTCACTGTTACAAAGGGTAAAATGATAAGGTTGAAAAAGGTTGTCTTTAAGATTTAAAGAAAATATCTCAGTGGGGGAACCTGTGGCACATGTGCCACAGCATGCTGTTTGTATCATTGAAAGTTCTAAAAGGTTTACCATCACTGCTAAGCTAACTGTATCTTTCCTTTTTTTTCTGTCATATTCCAAAGGACAAGTGCCCTGTACACATAGACTCAGTACCCTCTTCCATTTCTCAAAGCCTTAGGTTCCTATATAGTTTCATTTTATATTTTCTGCTCTGATTTTAAGGTCTGCTTTGATCATTTTTTTTTTTTTTGGCCCTTGGAATCGTGCTTCATTTTCTTAGGAATTTAGTTATGTATTTAAACTGGTATTTTGTATTCTTTACCTACCACTTTTGACTGTGGGAAGGATTTTTAAGTATATCTGTAACAATGCTAGAGAAAATGTCTCCCTCATCTTCATCTTTGTAAAGGTCTTTACACTTTGTTTTGATTCTGTTTCCAGTTGTGAGAAGCACCCATTGATCACAATTTTTAAAAAATTTAATCAATATTTCCTTTTCTGTTTTTATTAGCCACTTATAGCACATCTTATTTATTCATTTTCTTTTTCCTGTTTATGATATCTACATTACAATATTCTCATCTTACCATCCTGCTAATTATAACTAATAATTAGTGGCTCGGAATCCTGCTAGCACTAGTAAAAATTAGTCAGAAATTGACTTCATGATTTATGTTCTGTCAGTATTCCTTTGGCAAGTAATAATACTGAACTAAAAACAGACTTAAAGAATGGGGCTTCTTATTGTCTAGTAGCAGGAAGTTTGGAGATTGGTGGTTCTAAGGCTGATATGGCATGATGACTTAATTGTTAGAAAACTAGGCCTTTTGCATTATTTTCTTCTCTAAGTATGGTGGCTTTTGATCCTCAAAGTTCTTTGCCTCATATTTTCAGTATGGTTATTGCAGCACCAGACATTTGGCCTATGTGAGAAAACAAGGGAAGGCTTTTCCTTACAAGCATCTCCTAACGGGACTTTTCCCAGAAGGCTTCCTTGGAGACATTTGTTTGTATCAGTGGTTAGAACTGATCTCGTGCCACTGTTAGTTCTGAGGGAAGCTGGGAAAGTGATAGTCCAGATTTTCCAGTTTCTGTTGTAGGATGTGGCCTTTTCTAGGGTGGAAGAGGGGCGAGGGATATGCTCTGAATTGGCCGTATAGGTTGAACCAACTGCATTGGCAGACTTTCTGACTTGGTCTTAACTTTTTTATTTATTGACTTATTTCCTGCTTTACTCTAAAATAATGAGGGATGATTTACTAATAAATATGGGTAAAATCCTATCAGGAAAAATGAGTGACATGGACTTAAAGAGGCACCAAAATGTTTGCTATATGTTGGAAATAAGCTGTGTATTTGGCTTTGGGCTTTGTAGTCAAAATGAAGAGGAAGCTAAAATGAGTTAATTTTGTTCACTTGGTTAATGAGGCAGTAATTTTTATAACCCACACCAGAACCTCAGTCACTACCCGTTTTCCTACTTGGTAATAAGAGGTTGCATCTCTTCTCACACCTGTGCCCTTCCTGCACCTCTGCTGACACCTGTGCTTGACTCAGCCTTCCATTGTAACACTGTAATCAGGAGTCCTTTTGCCAGGCTTAGTCTCCACTGTCTTCTCCCTCACTGGTGGAGCCATCTTTGTGTTTAAGGCTTCGCTTACCTGTCTGAGAACCTTGAGGCTGGAGGGCTCCCAGTTCACTTAAGCTCAGTGAAGTTGAAGGCTTCTGTGGTTAAGGTGCTGCTTCTCCCCTTGGCATGCCCATTTTCTCTTTGACTGTGCTCAGCGCCTGCTGTAGAACTTCTTTACTATGTCTCTTCTGTAGAGGGCTCCTCTCCATGGCTCTCAAGCTTTGCTTTCTTTCATTGCTCAATTGCAGGTTATATACTGGCTGCGTTTACTTCTCTCCCCAGTTGTTACCCCTGAGATCTGGGACTGTCTTTCTTCATGTTCACTTTTTGCGTGATGCTTGCTCAGGTGCTCAGATACTGTGTGTATTGAATTGAACCTCAGTGGTCAACTATTGAATCATACATAAATTATGTAGGAGCTTTGGTTTTTCCTACTGT